CAGGAACTAAAGAGCACTCCTTGGAAAATTAGTCCTGTCTGGCCAGTAATGATCATTTTGGCAATGATAATGAGCTCGGGCCGGGTGAGTTTAATGAGATTAATAGATGTTCTGTCATCCCTGGCCTCCTGGTAACAGGAGCCTCTGGACCAAGGAGGCCCTGGACACTGATCAGTTTAATTGCTTGGCTTTCTTCAGAAATAGCCTCCTCATCTCTGATAGCTGTTTTCCTTAAAACTGCCCCAATGTCCCCAGGGTTGTTTAAGGACACAGGTCTGGCCACAGACTGGTGTGACTCGCATCCCCATGCTGGAAAATAAGACCAGAGGTGTCCAACAGGTGGTGGTGGTGGTGGTGAGCCATTAAGGTCAAGAGCAGCAGCTCCTGTTTTGAAATGAGCATTTCAAGAAGAAGAAATCCAGTGCTGCGGAGGGCTGACAGAGCTGGTGGAGTAGGCACTCTGAGAAAGTGGCATGTAGTGTTGAACAAAAAGCCTGGGTGCAAGTCCCGTAGCTACTTTCTTCACTAGCTGGGTGACCTTAAGTAAGTCACTTATCTTTGCTGATCCTCAGCTTTGTTATCCACAAAATGGGATCAGCAATGTCAGAATCAAGCCTACAAACTGGCTTTGTTCACTAAAATCCTGTGCAGGTGTGTGAGGCATTATAGTAGAAAGTGGGTTGAGGACCAAAGAGGGTGTGACCGGCTCAGGGTAACACATTCTCACCATGGGAATAAGTACCCAAAGCATCTCTATGCATAGTTTTTTGGAGTTAAACAAACTGGGTTCCAGTTCTGGTTTTGCTCTATTAATCAACTACTTTGCCTCTCTGAACATCCCGTGTCCCTATCTAAAATTCCTCCTCATAGGACTATTGTGCGGATTAAATAAGGTGAGGTATGTAAAGTTTTTGACTCATTGTTGGCACTCAGTAATTAGGCTATTCTTACTGGAATGGCCCTCTGGGGGTCTCATTTACCTAGAGTTCAGGGGTGGAGGTACCTTTTAGGGCTTTTCTACCTTGACAAAGCCCTGTCACTTCACCCCATGTTTTTAAGCTTGGCACTTGTGTTTCAAAACATAGCTTCCATCTGAAATGTTTCAACTGGGGAAATGATCTGTTTTTGCCAAATTTCTATTCCTATTAGCCTGGAGAAGCAAGCCCATCCCTTTGAGCTGTAAATTGCATTTCAAAGCCTGTGTCCCTGGTGGGTTTTAATTAGCTTAAGGACCCAGCTTTTCTGCAGCAATTGTTTTTCCTGCAAGTGAAGGTGTAGACACTTGGGAGCCAGTCCCTGGTTTTCTCAAACATAGCATATCCAGACCTCTCCCCACCCCCTCCCAGCCCTTCATTGTCCTGGGGGCTTGTCTTACACTAGCCCCAAAGGAAAATTTGAATATAAGGACCCTAGGCTTAGAGTCAGAGAACCCATGGACTTCTTGGTGCTACTACTCATGGCTGTGGCATCTTGACCAAGTCCATTTCTCTCTGTTCCTCAGAGTGGGGACATATAAGCTTTATGCTCACTAAGGTCCCTGTTAATCTGACATTTCAAAGGTCTCTGGGAACAAGTCTGGTTTTTTCTTCCCCTCTCCTGTCTTACCTCCCCTCCTTACCACCACCACCACCAAGAACAATCCAATCCCTCTACCCATCTCTCCTTAGCTCATTGCTAAGCATGGGGCCTCTGGGGGCTGCAGACACCTTGCTCTCAATTACACAGCTAATCTGTGAGGCTTAAATCCTGTGCAAGTGTGTGTGTGTGTGGGGGGGTAGCTTATCAAGTCAAGCAGCTTCTGTTGAGTGGGATGCTAATATTTTCCAGGGCTCCAACTCTAAGCTAGAGGGAGGCCTGGAAGAGCCAAAAAAAGAGTTACATGGGGAAAATCGAGTTGGGGATGGTTGATCTGTGGAGGGCGGTGTTTGGGTCAGAGACCAGAGAAAGTGCCTGGGACCTCAGACCCCAGTGGTCCCCCACCCCCTACTTATGACAGGGCCACCAGCTAGCCCCTCTCACCTCACCTCCTGGGACGTTATTCTCACCTCTATCTCTAACATTTATTGAGTACTTACTGTGCCCCAGACTTTGTCAGGCCTGTCTCTAACTTTTGCAAGGCAGAGCAAGAGTACAGATGGAGATTCACATACCATATGTCTAAATATTTGAAAGTTATAAGTGAAGCTACCAAACTGTTTTGTTCATAACATCCTGGAAGACCATGTCTTGACCCTCTGGGATTTTGTACCTGAACCTAGCAGTTCTGGGAGAGTTAGTCTGGGCATGCTTCCTTGCCATTTCCCACCCCCGACTCCATCCCACCCTATGAGGAGCTTCTTGGACATGTATGTAGATGCTGGAGCTTTTCCGTACCCCCAGATACCTAACCCCTTGGAATTAGGAAATACAGGAGCAGCGCAGCCTGCCTCCAAGGAGTGTGCAGGCCTTGAGAATGGATTGGAGGCTGTTTAGACAGGGGAGTGTAGGGGTTGGGTGCCTGGAGCATGCTTCAGGTGGACATTTCTCCTTGGCTCTGCAGACTCCTCACCCAGAGCAACCACATACATACACTTCCTAAGTCTCTTCTCTACAGATCAGAAAACTGGCCTTCATGTGACATGGCTTCTAAGGCTCTCTCTCCTTGGTATCATTCAGAATGTGCTTTAGTCTGACCTTGACCCTCATCTAGAATCGGCCCACAATGGTAGTGTTAGTAGAACAGAGAGGTTGAACCTAGTCAGAGTAATTATTAGATCTTGTAAAGAGCTTCATGGTTTGCAAAGTCCTTTTATGTGCATTGTTCAAACCCCAGGTGATGAGAGAAAAGACCCAGCAGGGCCAGGGCTAAAGCAAAAGGACTTTGCTCACCAGCCAAGCAGCAAGTGCTGATCCCGCTATTAAAACAAGCACAGGTGCTCAGTGGTGTTAGAAGGTTCTTAGGGAACCCAGCACCTGTCATCTCCCTTCCAGATTCCAGATCAGTGGCAGAGCAAGCAGTCATCAACAGATCTCTGAACCATAATCCCCCCTCCTTTTTTCTATCTCTGTCCATACCCCAGGCCTGGTTGGCCCCCTCTAGCCAAAGCAGGTAGCATCTCCCTGGGCCAAAACTTCATGGTTTTGAGCTGAACCAACCAGGAGAGTTATCTAATTACCATGGAGGAGCCCTCAAAACTTCTTGTATACTCACAGATGGGCAAAGGAATTAACCTTTGAGTGGCTTGTCATCCAGCTAGGAGAGGGATGTCAGAATTGTGAGGAATGGGGAGTCAAAGGGAAACCACAAATACGAGCATTTCCTGCTGCATATGGACAGTATATTGGGTGTTTTCATGGGTCTCTCTTGTGTCCCTCACTGCTTAGTAAGTGTTGATGATTGGATGCAAAGGGAAACTATGTAACAAAAAATAATCTGTTCCTCCCAGGCCATTTCCAAAGCTGGCACCAGCTCCTTCATCAATAGCAGTGCCCTCTCAGACTTTCTTATCTAGGATGACACACTTGACCCCACTATATCCTTGGAGCTACTGCAAGCCCACTCAAGGAGCAAGTTCTTTGGAGTGCTCAGGTCCAGCCTAGGGTTCCCTTGCAAACAGTGCCATCTCTTGGTCAGAACATGCCAGCTTCCAGGCTGGTAGAATTCTAGAAAGAGGGTCTCTTACCCTAATGGGACAAAAGATACACATTTTACAGCTTATACTTAGCTCTTCTTTATTTTACTAAAAGAAGCCTCCTCTGCCCAAATATATTAGGTAAATAAGTAGGAGTTTACCAAATATATTAGGTAAATAGGTAGGTTAGCTTTTGCTGGTGAGAGTTTTATACATGTGGTTTGGGGATCTTTAGCACCTATTTTCTTTTTAGCACTTTCTAGGGTGGGGTATTGAGACAGGCATGCTCTAAAGGGGAGTTGCACCAATCCATGCCAGTGAGCAGAAGACCAGGCCAAGCAGTATAAACGCCAAGGCCTAACATTAGGCCTTTCCTCTGACATCGAGCCTCCTTTTCCCTTTCACTCGAGCCGGTGCCCAGATGTCAGCTGTCTAAAGAAGGGGGTAGGAGAGGTTTATACAGCCCTTTGGGGTAAAAGACATTTCCAGAGTGTAGAGAGCAAAGAATAAGTACAATGTCATCTCTAGCAAAGAATAAAATTTGTATAAAAATAGTTAACTCTAAAAAATTATTTTATTTAAAAACAGTTCTCAGATAAATATGCTGACTTACTGTAGTATTAAAATGGGCTTTAGCTCTGGGAAGGACAGTGATGTAGTGGAAAGAAATGGGCCTTAGGGACTAACTGACCTGGCAAGTTAATGAAGTTATTGAAGTCTGTTTCTGGTAAAATATGAATGATAGTAATGATAATATCATGGGGTCTTGGGATAGGCATGCTCCAAAGGGAGCTGCACCAGTGAGCAGAAGACGGAGGCCACACTGAGTGCTGAGCAAGACTTACTTTCAGAATGGCAGATACCAGTAAAGACAGCCATAGCTAGGTCCACGTCTGGATCAGATGAAGCAATTTGCATAATATGGTATTGTTCTGGAGCACATATTACTTGCAATTACCACTGACTTTTTGGCAATGGTTCTACATTGAATGAACAGAAGCTGTGGAAGGCCTTCAAATTTAGATCTTGTGGGGGGGGGTGATCTTCGAGATGAGCATTAAAGGTGGAGCAGGTTTTAAAGAATTGGAATGAAGCAGACCAGGGTTCAAACCCCAGCCTTGCCATTCACTAGCATTGTGACCTCTGAAGGTGAACGTGTTCTCTCCTTTGTAAAATATCGTGGTTCTGCTTGTCAATACCACAGGAGGGAACATATGGAAAGCACCTGGTATGAGCTCAGCAGCCGGTAAGATGAGCAAAAATGGGGAGCTGGATGTTGTGGGGTGGGGGTGTAGGAAGGCACAAAAAATCCAGTTAGCTAAGATGTGGGCTGTGGGCAGCCCTTCAGCCCAACCCGTGGACCCAGCCTCACAGTGGCTCTCTCTTCAGGTGGCCACCATGTCCTTGAAGATCCAGACAAGCAACGTAACCAACAAGAATGACCCCAAGTCCATCAACTCTCGGGTCTTCATTGGAAACCTCAACACAGCTGTGGTGAAGAAGTCAGATGTGGAAACCATCTTCTCCAAGTATGGCCGTGTGGCCGGCTGTTCTGTGCACAAGGGCTATGCCTTTGTCCAGTATGCCAACGAGCGCCATGCCCGAGCAGCTGTGCTGGGAGAGAATGGGCGGGTGCTGGCAGGGCAGACCCTGGGTAAGCTCCTGGTATTCTGCGCAGGTGCTGGCCTTCACTCTCCGGCTCCCCTCTTAGCCCCTTTTATGTTTCCTCCACCACTACCCACTATCCCCATTAGAGATGTTACAACTTAGTTATATTTAAGTTATGAATTAAGTAGTTACAAATCAATGCCTGTAGAGGATAATTTTAGAAGCTTCTGGAAAACACTTCTGTCCTGACCCTGCTTTCACAATAGCCCTTAATGATAAGGCTTATGGTTCCAGAATGGACTAGCACAGTCTATTACATTAGGCTACAGGTGGCTTAGGTTAGAACCCTTTCTGAGAGCCAGGAGGAGGTGCTGGGAGCACGAGGTGAATCAAGCAGTTGCCCTTGGCCTTGGTGTTATATACATGTGATGTGGCCATGCTAGTGGTCTACCATGGAGTGTATACAGTGTTCTGGGTATATGTGTATGTTTGAAAAGGGATACTTATATATGTATTCCTGAGTATATGGTATGTGGATGTAACTGAATATGTGGACATACACCTTAGTGTGTATGTATGTAGTATGTGTCAGAATATATTGAGTGCGTAAGCAGATATGCATATATTCATTTACCAAATGTTTGTTGAGATCCCATCATGTGCTAAGCACTGAGCTAGGCATAAATACATTTGTTAGAACATTTATGTGAGTGTGCATTAGCTCACTTGTATATTGGCAGTTATGTATATGATATTGGAAGCAAGCCTGAGTGTACTTAAGAGTATATATGTTATCCGTGTGTGTGTGTGTGTGTGTGTGTGTGTGTGTGACCTTATTACCTGCACATGTGAATGTGTGAGGGTGTGTTACCTATGAGTGTTCACATTTGTGTTCACATGAGTGTTCTTGAGAATGCATATATGTGTGATGTAAATGGAGTATGTGTGAGTGATGTTTGTGAGCTTGCATGCATGTGTCTGAGTATATATGAATATGTTGTAAAAAGGCGTATCCACGTGTTGTATGGGTATGAGTCAATTGTGTAAGGACATTTGTTAGCTGTGTGAGTAAAGTCCATGGGTACGTCATATGTACACATAAATTGCTGCACTCTTGCCATGAGGATGATCTGTGTACTGGCACCTGCTGTCCTGCCAGCGTTTGACTCTGCCTTTTCCCTTCACACAGACATCAACATGGCTGGCGAGCCCAAGCCAAACAGACCCAAGGGGTTAAAGAGAGCAGCATCTGCCATTTACAGGTGGGGCACTCTGTCTTGTCTACGTCTGGGTAGGATTGGTCCCTCTTTCCACAGAGGGAGTAAACACTGGTGGTGATGGTGTGCTAAGCCTAGAATTTGGGGAGGCGTTTGGAGATGAGGGCCTGTGGAGAGTGGGCTGAACAGCTGTCCCTAAGCCCTGGCCCTCTCCCCTTTGTTTCCCCAGTGGCTACAGTTTTGACTATGATTACTACCGGGACGACTTCTACGACAGGTGAGCAGGGGAGGGGCGTGCCCAGGCATGAAACAGCCAAGCTGGAAGGGCTCTGAGAGATTGCTGGTGCAGCCCATTCAGTCATCAAAGTGGAACCTAAGCCCAGAGATGTGGACAGGCATTTGCCCAAGGCTGCTCCGCAAGTTGTTGGCAGAGCTGGGACTAGAGTCAAGTTCTGCAGGAGCCCAGGCTAGAGCGCCCCCACCCCACACTGTCTCCCACCCTCTGACTGGCCTTCCTCCTCCTAAATCTGGGGTGGGACTAAATGGGACTGGATAGCCAAGGGACACATAAACATAGCAAATTGGAATACAAAATGGTAGGGGTCCAGTGTAGGGAATGTGAGCCCTTGTGCTTCTGCTGTTCTACTTCTCGAGGTAGAACAGCTGGAAGGGACCTCAGAACTCAGTCTGGGCCGCTGGGCCTTATTTTTATAGGAAGAGCCAGAGGCCCTTTAGAGGTCTGAATCAGTCCCTGGTACGCTGTGACCCACCCTCGATTCCCAAGCCTACCCAGACCCCAAACTTGAGGCTGTGGCCTCCACTGCATGTCTCCATCCACACTCTTGAGTGGAAAACATGATGGGAGCTGGCCCAAACCTCCCTGCTCTCTCTCTTCCTCTTTCCTTCCCTCTTGGCCTGTCCCAGGCTGTGCAAGAAGAATAGAACCTCTCTGAGCCTCGGTTTTCTCTCCTGTGAATGGTATAGTTGAAAGTGCCCTAGCCTGGGAGTCAAAATACCTGGGTGCTAATCTCAGCTCTGCCACTGAATGGATTGTGTGGCTTTGGGTAAATTCCCTCCAGTCTGTGAAATAGGCTTGCACCAAATGATCCCTCAGGGCTCCTCCAGCTCTGGGATTCTGTGGTTCAGTGATTCTGACCAAGGCCAGAGCCGCCCCCTCCCCTTCGGGACAGAAGTGCAGTGTCTGGGACTGGATCCATTCCCAGAGACTTTCCATCTCCAGCCATTGCCAGCCCAGGACAGGGGCTCCCTGAACAAAGGAGTGCCAAGGCATGGGGCATTGAATTGCCCGTTGATGGCATGTTTCCTGGTTGTTATCAGGAAAGCAATCCCACAGTGTACCCCTGAGGCTGCTGTTCCCTACAGAAAGGTGGTAGCAGCAGATGTGGTGGGAGAGACCCCTACTCAGCCTTCTGAGCTGCATGATCAACAGGAAAAGAAACCCTCCTGGAGAGGGCTGAGT